CTACCTCATTTCCGCCCGGTGTAGGCCTGTTCCGGAAACGACTGGTTGCAGGGCGGTTAATTCAGGATGAGCATTGACGAGACCCTTTTACGGTGTCCAACGGACGCTAGGAAGGGGGTCCCACATTTAATTAAATTTAATATCCAAATTAAGAATGAGAAAAAGAATTAAAGATAAAAGAAAGGAAGGGAAAAGCGAAATACTCATTGATTTATTTAAAATCTTCGATGTTTAACTTTTCATATGATCACCCTAAATTATTGATTTTTCTGACAATAAAAATTAAAAACATGAAAAATAATAAAAAAGAGACAAAAGATAAAAGAAACAAAGAATTTTCGTTATCTAATTGGATTCCATCGAAAATTGTTTTTGATGGATTCGCCTTTATTCTCGATATTTTTTATAAATAAATCAAGAAGTAGGAGAAGCAATTAAATATGAAAAGATGGAAGAAAAACCAAGATTGTTAACTGACTGGCGTAGTTTGGCTCCAATTATCCGCGATCGGAATTACCCCCGGATTAATCATTTATTCTAATTCTGATTATTTCCGCTATACTGTGATGATTGGGATTTGTACGCATGACCTGCCTAAATTTCCCTGATTTTTGACTTTACCGTAACCAGTGTGCTATAAGTGAGGGATAGACAGATGTGGGGCGTTACCGCTATGTTGTTTAATTGTGCCCCGCGACCTTTTTTCCGTCGATGCAATCCCCGCTTGAGTTTGAACATGTGGATCTATTATGGGATTCAGACATTCTATGGTATTTGACACATTTCATGCATGGTATTGCGCCGACATCAGTGTGGCACACGCCTGGGAATCATCCGTTGGTTCGGCTTGGGCGCGACAGTCTGGTTCGGTACAGGTTCAGTCAATGATATGGAACTGGCACCGCAGGCAATATTAATCAAAATCATGTCGAGCCTCTGGTTTGGTAACGAGCCTCGGGCTCTTGACGACGCTACCGAGTTTTAATGCCCCTGGCTATCTCAAGTCCGAAGTGGTATTGGTTGGACTGAGTACTCTCTGGTTTGACGCGGTAACAGCGGGGTGGGCCTGTTGACACTTGCTGGAACTGTTGCTGTTTTTCGGGTTGGTACCGCTGTTTTCTCGCGGGCGCGCTGGTACCATTGTAATTCATACGATATTGGACTGTGTACTTGTTCTCTCGGGGGCCTCTGGTCGGCGGAGGCCCATGCCCAGTGCAGCATTCCCCATATAGGGAGGACCAGTTGGCAGTCGAAAGGACTTGAAGACGAGGGAGCCAGCAGGAGGTATGCAAGGCATACCGAGCCCACATCCACTTGGGATACAGGCAGAGCAAACGCGCTGGGAACGGGGGGAGGCACGGGGGTTCGCCAGGCGTCCCCAACACTTGGGATGCTCGGAGAGGAAAGCTAGTGGGAACGGAGAAGCTTGGAAGAGAAGAAGAGGCTTGCCTGATGGCACGCGAGAGGAAGGGAAGAGAGAACGAATACTTGGAAGTTCCGAATCACTAGAGAGTGTGAGAGAGGGAGAGTGTGACAGTGAGAGAGAAAGTGTGACAAAGAGTGTGAGAGAGGGAGAGTGTGGCAGTGAGAGAGTGTGTGAGAGAGGGACTGCACAGTGAGTGCAGTGAGAGAGAGGGACTGCGCAGTGAGAGAGAGTGAGAGGGAGACTGCGCAGTGAGAGAGAGTGAGAGAGAGACTGTGTGTGTGTGTGTGTGTGTGTGTGTGTGTGTGTGTGTGTGTGTGTGTG